GCGGCTCCATGCGGCACAGACTAGGTAGTTCGGACTAGGCTTCCTAGTCCGAACTACCGTTACTCCTCGTGAAACCTAGTCCGAACTACCTAGTCCGTGCCGCGTGTAGCCGCGCGGCACGGAGTCCGCACTAGCGTACATGTTCGGACTAGGAAGCCTGGCAACATGCAAATGAAGCCCGGGAAATTCAAATCCCGGGCTTCATTTGCAACTCCGGTTGACTACATTACCACCCTAGTTCGAACTAGGGTGGTAGTGTAGACATACCCATAGAGTCAGCCAATAGGAACGTAGGTAGGAATTTCAAACTGGGCAGTTTCACTCGAGTTACTGAGGGGGACAGACATCATGTCCGTCTCCAAGAAAAGACTCTTCACTATCTGTAAATAGGGTAAAGTTTAGATAAATCTGTTAGGTTGTATTGTTTTATGGTTTGGGAATGGGAATCTGATGTCTGTGCACTTAAAAAATGGGGTTTCCTCTCCTTTGCAACTAAAATTTTTCTGTAAATAGGGTAAAGTTTAGATAAATCTGTTAGGTTGTATTGTTTTATGGTTTGGGAATGGGAATCTGATGTCTGTGCATTTAAAAAATGGGGTTTCCTCTCCTTTGCAACTAAAATATTGGCCCATGGGGAGGCCACCCCATGAGTATATAAATTGTGACTTTTCCATCTAGTCATTATGCTTGCAACAGAAGCATTGTGGTGATAATAAAAGTTCTTTCTCTTTTCTTATTATTAACCTGATATTGGTTAATCTTTGTGTCCTGGATTTTTACTTAGGGGTCCCAAGATTTCCCAAGTAGTCTCTCCCTGGTTTCTTGATTTTTACTTGGGTGGTGGCAGCGGATTTTATCCCCAAAATCTAGGCTTTTAAGATTTTGGGGAAAGCTTTATACCAAAGTCTAGAAAGATAAGGTTTTGGGGTACTTTTGTGGGCCCCCACTTTTGCATTTATCGTGCCAGAGTGGGGAAAAAGCCTTGACACAGGCGCTCAGCAGAGATGATATAAACTGCTATCTTAAACGTCTCTGGTGTACATCCTTAAAGGTCTCTGGTGTCAGGATGGGTCAGCAATCTTTCCTGGCTCTCTGTCCCTCACAAGGCTGCATCTGGGATCAGAAGCAGAATTGAAGACAAAACGGAATCTGCCTCGTGGCACTTCATATTCATTCCTGGTGCCTTCCAAGCTGGAGAG